CCTCAATGGTAATCAACATAGACTCTTACGAGGGCAGTTCCACTAATGGTTTGCAGGCTGAAAAGGAAAATGAAGCGAAGAAGCGAAGAGATGAATTGGAGTCGATAGTGAGTGAATCAGACTTGGAGACGAAAATGAAAATAGCTGATTCCTGTAGCTCCTGGAAAGAGAACAGCGGATACAGAACTTAGAGGACTTCCGCACCCAGGAAGTAGCTCGGATGAGTGAGCAGGAAGCGGTACTCGAGCTACTTCGAAAGTCAGAGGCTGCTGCTCTGGCCCAACAGAAGAAAATCTCCCAGCAGCTCGATGAAGCCCAAGGAAGAATTGTCGAACTTAATGATAGGCTGACCTCGAAAGACATTGATCTCGATAATCTCCAGAAGAAGCTAGACACATGTCAAAGTGATCTACTGGAGAAAGGGGAAGAACTCGCACAGGTCAAGAAAAAGCTTTGCGACGCCGAATCGGACAGGTCAACTCTGGAAACAGGCAAAGCGAAGGCGAAATCCGAAATACACGCTCTCCTCAAAAGGCTTCAGGACTCGGAGCGCTGGATGAAAAATATCAAAACAGCGATCGCTCGACCAGATGATCCTCCATTCGGCGGACCATTCCCGGGTACTTGGAACAAACTGAAGGACTATCTGAGCTCGACAGACAACCACAACCCATGTTCCGATTCACAGAAAAGTACAATTCCTACAAGTCTTAGTGTTGTGAATGCGAGTAGAAGTCCTTCTGTAACCTCGACACCGAACAGGATCTGTGAGAGTCCTATTCAGGGCTTTGTTCAGACGACAGAGGTGATATATCGGACACAGAGCTTTCAAGGCGGCGGGCTGTCTTCACCAGTTCAAACTAATGCAAGAGCCGGGAACATGGACTCCGTTAGTCGCTGTGAAAAGCCGGAACCACCAACTGAAATTGTACCATTCTCGAGTATTCGGCAGCAGCTATCACCCGCATCTGGCTCATCTCTAAGCCCTGAACCTAGCGATCTTGCCGAGATGCTAGACCTCACTCCGAAGAACAAGTCTCCGCAGGGCAATACGGCCGTGGACACGCCGAAACAAAAGAACGAGAAGAGGCTTGTACCTACACCGCACAAGGCTGACGGTTTCGACTTCGGAACGATATGTGAAAAGTCGCGGAACTCACAGCACCAGCCGCTGAAACTGAGCTCCTTGGCGACGGAAACGGTTGATGGTCATGAGAACGCAAGGGAGGATCAGGGAAAGCAGAAAACCGTCACTGTCGAGGCAGAAAAAAAGGTAAACAGGATTGAGAAGCGGAAGTTCTCAGCGACCGTGGACGACACTGGTGAGGAGAGCACTTCCGAGAATCGGCTTATCAATAAAGCAGAACGCACCACGAAACGCACTTACAGTAAATTTCAGCGCTCTCTTTCGTCGAAGGGGGTTCCCAAGTTTACAAACGAGTCCAATGCTTCTCCAGCTGGCGAACGGACGAATCATGATACGCATACGGAGAATCAATACACGAGCAATGATAAGAGAGCACGAGTGTCTATGGCGCCGTCGAATTCGAAGCCTAGAGGGCAAGCGCAAGGGACTGCCAACTATTTGGAGCGCAGAACAAGCCCTGCTAGCTTAGCGTCCGGAAGCAGTAGACAATCATCAGCGATTGAAAATGATCCGAAAAACAACAGGTGGACGACACGAGGTGCAAGGCGCGGAGGTCGGAGATTACGCAGTAAGCGCCATCCTTCTTGCAAAGAAGCTATAGCTGCTGATGGACACAGGTGACCGCTACAATGCCCGTTTCAGTCAGCGATATAATGAACAGGTTGATGGTATATAGATAGTAGAGCCCGAATTTAGCTCCACAATAATGCACCTGAAGGTTAGCGACAATTTAATTATGAGGAGGGAGGAGAAACGAGATACGCAGCGTATTTATCACGAGATTGAACAAGTGACGAAAGGGAGATACTGCTTATGTAGCCGAGAAGATTGGGAGAAAGTGAAGATATCGAACATGATAAATTGAACCCAGAATGTACTGCTCTAAACGCCGGAATGCAAGACCAGAATAGAAACAGCTCAGCAAGACACGAGTCCACTCAGATGCCCAGAGTATCGCTTCTGCCGCTGATTTCCCTAATGTACATGATGGTTGATGGAAGTAACGGGCTCGACTTGTCGCTGCCTTTCGAGACGTTGGATGGTATAGGAACGGAGTGTACTCGTTGACGCCGACGAAGACTGAGCCGAATCTCCAGGACGATCCCCTTATTCGAAGCGACCGAGCTTGATGTTGCAGATAGTTGAATAAGAGAGACCATAAATCATTTCGCCCTTCCACCCTTTGTCGCTTCCAGGAACAAGACCTTCTTCTTCACCACGGGGTCGTATTTGAGCATACTCAGAGGGCGGTGCGTACGAGGACGGATCATCGTGCGATAGTACCCGGTCATAGCCATGGAGATCAGGCGAACGGCAATCGTGCGAGATTTCGCTATGAAGAGGATCGCAAGTCAGTCATCCGTTCTCTGCAGAGCAGCATTGTACTAGGGATTAGCAGCTCCGAGTTCACGTGGAAACAGTGCTGGGGTAGAAATCTGCGCATACCTTTCTTGGCCATTTTGGCGACTTGCAAGGGAGGGACAGCAAGAGGGGGATGGAGCCTTGTCGTGACCGATTCCAAGTTATCGGAGTTTTGTGGAGAGAACTTTGGGATCGGGATAGTATCACGTGATACTTGCTATCCTGGAATGGAATAGTGCGGAATGCGGATAATGCCAAGACTACAGAGTACCTTCGCTGCAGGTACATAGGGAAAGTACCTCTGCATATTATTGACAAAGATTATCGTTACATGTGTGTGTCAGCTGAAATGACCTGTCTGTTTGTCATGATTGGATTTCTACCAGAGAACTCTTTCTACAGCTATTTGATGTATCTGGAGCAATCGTATCTATCTTTTTCCTGACTCTTGCTGAAAGCCTTTATCAGCCTCTTTGTCATACTGTTTCAAGCTATAAATATGAGCTGAGGTCCCATGATTCTGTCTGTTTATCAGCTTCAGACGTTCTCTACTCGTGTATGTACAATTGTCTGTATGCTCACGAGTTAGCATGCCATGAGTACTCGGCTTGAACTCCGTGAGGGCAAGGATGTTTACTTCATGATTGTTGCGCGCCAGTAGGACATGGCGGATGCATCATTGACCGAAGCAGTGATGTTCTTATCTATATGAGAAGTCGCTTTGATGACCAGTCGGTGGAATCTTGCCGTGCGCCATTCTCGGGAAGGTAAGCCATTGGCTGTTGCAAACGTGAATGCTCTACCCCATGTTTTGTTTGCCCTGTCAACTTCGGTACCGGACGTCAGCACTAGAGAAGTCGGAGTTTCAGTGAACTGACTGAGACCTCAAGCCATAGTCGTTGTTAATTGTAAGCGACCTCGGGAAGAGTCTGTCTCGCTACGCGGCGCTTACCGGAATGAAGACGTAATACAAGTCGTCCGATGAACGATTTGTTTTTGTCTCGGTGGAAAATACTCACTGGATAAATGCAGTGTTTATGAACATATTTACTGCACTGGGCATAAGCCGTGGACGTCAGCTCGCGATGGGCAGCATTGAAGTCATTCCACCTGACGGATGGTGGGATACAAACGAAGACTTCAGGTGCTATTCTCAGGTCGATAACCAGCTTTTCAAATGGTGGTGTATCTCCGTGGGATATAATCACATCAACCAGAGCAATGAACGTAGGCTTTCTAATGCACGTAAGTATAGGCTGCCTGTGAAAGGCTTTTCCAGACTAATCTAGGTATAGCAATACACGTTGTTCGAGGACAAATACATGGCCGTCCAAGAGACAAAGTTAACGCTTCCCCCTGGGAAGGCCGATGTTGGTTGTTGTCACCCTCGAAGAGCTTACTACGCCGCATTATCTTCTACATCTTTCTCTTACTAGCGAAATACCTGCGAGAAAACACTGCAAGAAGCCTCAATCTTGCTCCTATTCTCACAAATGCCGATAGGGAACTGAGGAAGCTCAAGTTTAGGATTTTGACTTGTGTGCTGCTTCTGTAAGCCATGCAGACAGATTCCCCTCATCCATCATCCACAGACGAGGTAGTTGACAGCTGTGAATAGATAAGTTCCTGAAATACATGACATGAACTAAGTTCCATCCTTGAGAGTGTCGGTTCAGAGGGACTGATCTTAATTGGAGACAAGCGCAGAATTTTCAGAGGTACAAATTTATATGGTTTACAGCGTCTAGTGATCTACACATTTCGAAGGGCCTGAAGTCATCGGATGACCCAGTGATTTAGACTAATCTTCGGGCTCACTTATTGCTGGCTTGATTTGCCCCGGAGAGAGTATGCATGAATCTTCTCATATGATCCTCAGTCTTCTAGTGTCGAGGAAGGTGGCCGGCCTAAGATTCATCGACCAGAATATTGCCGTCGACTCGAAGGATTTCTTCTCAGAGACTTATGTACACTCGTCCCGGGCCAATAAGCACTTTAATTTCAGTAACGGTCTACAGTTCTCGAAATTCATACCAAATTTGAATGTGAATAGATTGTTTTCATTTCAAGTCTTGTGGTGCCAAACAGATTATTCACCTCAATGAAGGAGGTCGTTTCTTGTCATTCACACACGTAGAGCTCGTAGCTCATTTCATGTTTTGTTTTGTGTTACTCCTCTTGCTTCTTCGTCTTTCCTCACCTTTCTGCTCTTTTCTCCTTTGATCTTCCCTTCTCCTTCCTTCTCGAGATTTCTTTTGTCAGTAATCCCTCCTCCCTCCTCCTGAAGATATCTTCTCTCAATCATCTCTCCTCCACCTGAATTTCCCACCACCTTACAGCCTCTGTTGCAAATCCAGGTTCCATAGTCATTGTATGCCTGTCTGTCAGTCAGCTCTATCCGTTCATCTCAAATAGTTAGTCTGTGCGCCTTCGTTGCAGGCAGTTTGAAACACCAAAGTCAAATCACTTTTTCCTTGTTTTGTGTGTCGCAATGAGCCCGAAAGACTCGTCCATGTCCAAGAAGGCCAAGTCTGTGGCCAAGAAAGGAACGTCTTTGGCATATAGACTCGTCCGAAGAGTCAAAAGAGAGCTTACGCGGTTCGGTGTTGGTGAGCGCGTGGTCAACGTTGTGGAGGATACCATCCACGATGTCGTTGATCAAGAAGAGTCTGCAACTTCTAGCCATCCAAAGAAACCGAGGAGAACGATCCCTGCCACCGCCTTAGATTACAACAGTGTCAGACGTTACTTTAAACTCTCAGACTACAAGGCGCCTAAGGGGGCCCCAGAGGCCAACAGAATCTGGGCCATCCCAGATCAACACCTCCTTCCAATCCCGCAGCATCTAGGTAAGATTGGTGTTCTATTTATTGAGTTTGACATGATGGTAACACATTTCAGAGGCTTCGATGCACGAGTTTGATACGTTGACAAGATTCTCCGACGTTTCTTTGCGTACTCCAGCTGAAGCTATGGGACGATCAATCATAGACCAGATTCTTTCGGCGGCAATGAGAGAGGTCCGAAAAGAACTGCAGATCCTTGCGCCCAGTAATGAAGAACATCTCTATCTTACAATGGAGACACGACTTGAAGTCACTCTATCCCGAGAAGACGAGGATCTCGTGATCACCGGCGATGCTGACTATTCGTTCTGGTACGGTAATCCGAGCGACATCAGTACGAATTTGGTGGTCTGTGAGGCGAAACGCAAAGGGGAAGGGTCCGGGCAGGGAGGACAAAGTCAGTTACTTGGTTATATGGGTAGGTAATCTTCTCATATCGAGGGAATTCTTGTTACTAATGCGTATTATAAAGGCATCATTCACACTATGCGCCGCCGTCTTGGAAAAGAGAACTGCGTGGTCTATGGGATCCTCACAGACACCCAAACTTGGTGGTTCTACCGGATTGACAATGACTCCCAAGTAAGTTCCCTTAGGCCATATCAAGTAATTACTTAGCTAACAAGTGATAGGTCTCCGAATATGTCGCCACTTGGAAATACCAAACTTCTCGGATTTTTTCGTACATCTGTTTCATCCTTCGCGCCGCATACGAACTTACACCTACTACATCCCGAATCACCCCGTCGCACAGATTCTCCGGACAGAGCTCTTATTTCAATTTCGACATCTTCTTCAATAATTTAATTGAAGCAGGAAACCTGGCTTAGATTGAAGACATGTCTCCACTCGCAGATACTAAGCTTCCGGTTTGAGTGATATTATCAGAGCTTGCCATCGAGGATTGGTTCTTCCCCTTCTGAACGTTCTAGGCTATTGCAGCGGGAAGCTTATCCACAAGTAACAAGCCATAGCTTCAGTCGTGTGGCTGTCTCGTCTTGACGAAGGTGAAGGTCAGTCACGGAAATGAGCCCCGAGGATGGTAGTCTTACTAATGCATGTACTTTATGCAGATCACTCAGCTCCAATCTATACAGTGCTTGATGAGTATATCGACGGGACCGAAGCAGCTTTCATCTGGGCGAGGACCAACACGGATCTGGATCTGGTCTCTGTTACGCGAAATGGGAGTTGCAGACAGGACCAGTGTTGTGCATAGGGATGATTCAAGGACAGAACATAATGAGAGTCTAGAACGGCCGCTTGCTACATTGTAACCAAGTCACCTGTGCTCTGTAGTGTGACTCTATCCAGCGTTTGGAATCCTCGTCCCATGGTTTCCTTCACGAGGACGTCTCAGTCGTACCAGCCCTCATGTGGCTCGAGCAGACTCCAATTCTTGTAACTGAAGGCGCTTTTTTCTTGTCTGCAGGAGAGAGCTTATGAAGTGGAGCAGAGATGATGGTCAGATTGAGAGCGATGTATGCCCAGTCTATGTCTGTGGTATCACTCCGAAAAGAATGCGACGAGTTTCAGAGCCCAGATCTAACGGATGACTGTCGCCGTGAGTAAAAAGCTGGTTTGCCGTGACCGTGGTTTGTTTGTTGATTTGTGGGAGCTGGTCCTGACGAACCGGGGGAGAACCCGACGGAAGATGGACCTTCCAATAGCGCTCCTCTGGCTGTCCTCAACTTACCAAGTACTCAGAGTGGGACCGCGAAACGATTGGTTTGCGATTCCAGGGGCAACAGATAGTCGACTGTTGAGGTACAGACGTCGATTTCCTCTTGGTGAACTCCAAGGCTCTTATCTATTTGGCCATGAAGCTTTCCCCAGCATCTCCTCTCTGTCTCTCATGATACTGTGGTGATTGTTGTTCTATGTGGAAAGTCAGCAAGTTGTATGAGGAGAATCGCGGTTGAATTCTGTCAGCTGTAACTGTAAGTGAAAATGTCCATAGTTCTTCCGATCCTTCTTGTTATCATCGATTCTGATGAGACATCTTCAAGACTACCAGCTCCCACATGCCGAACACAGTACTGTTGTCCTTCTGACAGCATCGGAATACCATCTTGAACATTGAAATGAAACCAGCCTCTGCGTCTGCAGAACGACAATATGAGAAGCAACAGAATATTGAGATCTCGGAAACTGCGAACCCCAGAAATGCCCCAGACGAGCACGGTCCTAATCCTGAACCACTGCGAGTTCTCAATTTTGCAAACGACGATGAACCTTCTCCATCAACGCCCGGAATATTTGTCCTGAAACTGCCAAACCTTAGTCCAGAATCAACCGAGCGAATCTTTCCCATCAGCTCAGTCGTGTCGGTCGATTCCTCCGCTCCGCCAACACCGGCAGTGGAGAACCCTGAGGAGCAAAACTTCCCCTGGGCTGAAAGTCTCCGTTCAGATTTTACTGCTGGCAAGCAGTCACCGGGCCAGCCGGCTACGCCATCGCCCGATGACCGCAAGGACGCACCCTCGATTCAGAGCACAGGAGAAGCTTATGGCAGTTCTTTGAACGTGACTACTGGAAGCAGGAAGCGAAGCCCCTTAAAAATTGATTTGGCCAGAGGAATTTTCGACGTATCGTTTGAGGATGTGAATGTGACTTCCCAGGGGGGCTCTGGACTTATGGAGCCATCCTCTGCTGAGGCCCAGGATTCGTACTTCGTAGGAGCAGGTTCCTGGATCGACCAAACTGAAGCAGCAACCTGGGTACAAGACATGGAAGATGACCCAAACTTCAAGCACATTCATGGGCTTGGTGCACTCATAGTGCTACAAGAATCCAAAGGAAGACTCATCGTCCAGGTTGCGAGCAAGAACACCGAAAAAGTCCTTGGCTACAAACCTGAACAGCTTTTTGCACTACCGAGCTTCTGCGATATCGTGAAGGACGATCAGAAAAAAGACTTTCTTGGCCGTTTTAACCTTGTCCGAGACAAGTGGTATAATGTCGAGCAGCACGGTCCAGATATCCACGAAGTCGATGTCCGTCAAGGTTACGGGACAACGAGGCGGCTTTGGTGTACGATGCATGCCACAAAGACAAACTCTGGTCATATCGTATGTGAATTCGAATTGATGAGAGCCGTTCTTGATTATTGGAGGAACTCAGGGCCTTCGAAATCGGTCTACGCAATCTATGACAACACAAGCCCAGACGACAGATCCGATGAGAAGAACAGCACTCCGAGCATGCCTCCTGAGATGCAAAACATGCTGAGAGGAATCAGAGGAAATTTTCAGTCTGCGGATATGTTGAGCGCCTTGTCACTTGTTATCCAGCTGGCCGCGAGCGCCTCCTCCCTGAGTATGCTTTTCAACTATTTTATTGGCATCATTAGGGAATTGACCGGTTTCAGCCGAGTGACTGTCTTTTATTTTGATCGTGACGGGAATGCGGTTCCTATGAACGATGCCGTTGACTCGCGCGTTATTGCCAGTTTCCCGGAAGACCTGCATTTCCCAAAACCGCTTTCTCCGAGAGACTTGGGAAGCTTTCATTTGGGCAACAAAGTTTGCCTCGAGTACAGTCATAGGCAGTCACACACTGAGCTGGTTTATCGTGATGCTGAACATTTGCCGAGCGAGTTTGATCTAGACCACTCTTACCTGTTGGCGAGGTCACCGTACCTTGTGGACCATGTCACCGGAATGCCCGTCTTTGCTTGCCTGTCTATCAATATAAATGCCTTCGGACGTGCATGGGGGCTTATAATGTGCCAGTCGTACGAGGAAAAGATGCGATTACCCCCTCCAGTACAAAAGTTCTTCTGGCTAGTTAGCGACACACTTTCAAGCAATATCGAACGTCTTTCGAACACGATGACCGCCCAGACGCAGGGTCCTTTCACTTCTTCAAACGACGGGGATGAGAAAGGCGATAGCTTCCAGGTGAAAGACTTACTGACCTTGTTCAAGGCGGATTATGCTGCATCCTTAATGTTAGGTGAAACCAAAATCCATGGAAAGCCCCACGGTGCGCAGGAAGTGCTCGCTTTAGTGGAATACTTGAAACTGAAGGAACTCGGTGCTGTCTTGTGTTCAACGGACATGGCTCGAGATTTTCCAGACCTCAACTATACGCCTGGTTTCAACTATCTATCCAACCTGCTGTATGTGCCCTTGTCAGCGGACGGTCGAGAGTTTATCGTTTTCTTCAAGGCGCCACAATGCGCAGTCACTTTTCGTGCTGGGACTGATGACAATGCTCGATCCCTGGGCCAAGGACAGCCGAAGGACCTTGGTTCAGAGGCGAAGGTGGTTGATCGTGGGACTGATGTATGGGATGCAGGAGACTTACAGAAGGGCGTCTTTCTATCCTTGATATACAGGGCGATGCTGAAAGAGGTGTGGCAGCAGAAGGAAACAACAATGCAAAGCACCCAGCTTATGCGACTACTTTTGGCAAACTGCGCTCACGAGTTTCGGACGCCGCTGAACGCGATCATCAACTACCTCGAAATTGCATTGGATGGAGATCTCACTCAAGAGACTCGGGAGAGTCTTTCCAGATCGCATTCCGCTTCAAAGTCCCTCATTTACATAATTAACGATCTCTTGGACCTCACTAACGCAGAGAACGGTATCAGCTTGATCAAAGACGAGAATTTTGATCTCGTGGAGACCATCCATGAAGCCTCGCGCATTTTCTGTGAAGAAGCGAGGCAAAAGGGTGTTGAGCTTCATGTTGTACAGTATTCTGATATTCCTCCTGTGCTGGGAGACCAACGGCGAGTACGACAGGTCATCACGAACCTCATCAGCAATGCCGTTCAACATACATCTTTGTCGGGAACCGTGACTGTCGAATCATGCTTGTTGCCCGATTATACCGAGACTGGGAAACTTGGAATTGAAGTGGCTATCCACGACACTGGAACCGGCATGTCTCAGAACGATATCGAAGCACTTTTCTGTGAATTGGAGCAGGTTTCGAACAAAGATTATATACGAAGTCGAAGTCCACAACGCTGCGACAATGCCGTAACGAGCGACAGTAGCGGCTCGAGGAACATACTCGGGCTAGGTTTAGCCCTGGTTGCTCGCATAGTTCGCAATATGAACGGTCAACTCAGCGTGAAATCAGAGGAAGGCCAGGGAAGTTGCTTCAAGATCAAGATGCAGTTTCCTTTACCTTTCGATGAGTCCAATGAAGAGAACCTTGATTCTAACAGAGCGTCGCCGGTTGACAAAGGAAAAGCGAGGCAAACTGAAACTGAAGACGACCAAAACGTGCCTCCGAAGCAAGATGAATCTCAGTGCAGCAAATATGACCGAGCTCGGGCAGGGGAGAATACTGGATCCTCCGAGTGTACAGATTCCACAAAACATGAAAGCCATACATCAGACGACACAGTCACCCCGGGTCTTGCTCAACATGACTCTGCCTCGAAGCAAGAAGTATCAACCATACATCCTGACATAGGGACAAAACCTCCGTCTACCGAGGGGGACGGGCCAGCTCATCAACCGCATCTAAGGTCCGCGGAGCAATCTACCACAGCTTTGGCCGATGAACCGGCCAAGCCGATCGAGGAAGCAGCGGCCGGATTCTCAGAAAGGACGGCAGAGCCAAGTCAAACCAAAGCCAAAACCCAGTCCGATGTTCCACGCAATGAGACTACGACTTCTGCCTCTGAGATATCTTCCAAAAAGAATCTGCACATCTTGGTAGCCGAGGATGATCCGACAAATAGCGCAATCGTGCGCAAAAGACTACAGAAATCGGGACATACCGTCCATATGACTGAGAATGGAAAGGAATGTGCTTCTGTATTCCGTGACAATGCGCACTCGTTTGACGCCGTCCTGATGGACAT